TAATTGTGTCACTAATGTACTTTTCTAGTCCAGGATCACACATTATATGGATAGGCTTGTCACTGCTTCAACCAATAAACAGAAGTGATGCTATGTGACAAGAGGAAGAAACATAGATCTCACCTCTCAATAGGAAGTGTTTAAAGAATCTACACCTATATTTTTAAACTATCCCAAAGAGAAAAGACCCAGGAATTGCTAAGATGCTCCTGAAAAAAGAACAACAAACTAGGGAAATTTTGTTATATCAGGTATCAAGATTATTATAAAACCATTAATTAAGACAATATGATACTGATACAGGAATAGACAACAAATAAGCAAATTGAAGAACCTAGAAGTAGAACCCACATATGTAATGTTCCTGACATATTACATGGGTGATATTGTAGGTCACTGGGGAAAGTACAAGATATTCAATGAGTAGTGCTCAGACATTTGGTGATCCAAATGAAAAAAATGTTATTGGATCATATTACACTTATAAGTCAATTACTGATTAAAAACTGGGGAGTGAAGGGCAAAATCTTAGAGGTTTAAGGCATTGGATAAAAATATTATGATGGCGGGCGCCTGGGTGGCTCAGATGGTTAAGCGTCTGCCTTCGGCTCAGGTCATGATCCCAGGATCCTGGGATGGAGTCCCACATCGGGCTCCCTGCTCAGCGGGGAGCCTGCTTCTCCCTCTGCTTCTCTCTCTCTCTCTCTCTGTCTCTCATGAATAAATAAATAAAGTCTTTTAAAAAAATATTATGATGGTATCCCAGCTCCTATGTCTTCATCAGAGGCCCATCTTCATTCTTGGCCTTAGGTTTTCATAAGTCATCCCTATATTCTTATAATAAACCCTACCACCTTTTTCGGTTTTTGCTTCAGCTAACTGTACATGGTTTCTGCCTCCTACACAAGGTATTTAAGTTAAGCTGGTGGAAATGAAAGGCCGAACATTTATTTATCACTTACTTCATGCCCGGCATCTTCTAAGCACCTTACATGTATTAACTCATTTAAATTCTCACAAACAAGGCAATGAGAGAGTCGCTGATTATCCCCATTTTATGATGGACACATAAAGAGGCACAGAGAAGTTAAGGAACTTGCCTAAGTAAGGTCACAGGGTTAATGATAAGTAGCTAAACCAGGATTTTAATCTGGATATTCTGGCTACAAATCCTTAACAAGGAACTAGAATTTGAACTCGGACTGTCGGGCTCCAAAGATCATGTACTTAACCTCTATGTTGTGCTGTGAAAACCAGAGTATCACAACAACTCTCTTTGATTTACTGTTTTATTCGTGGCCAGGCCAATCCCAAATCCTGGCATCCTGCAGAGCCTCACAGAGAGGAGCCCTCTTCTAGCATAGACTTGGCAAAAGCTTTTTCTGGAAAACTGTGATACCAAATAACAGCTCCTTGCAGGCACCTCCAGTTCTGGGACCAGACTTTACCTCTGTCATGCACACGTTTTGGTTCTAAAGTTCCAGCACCATTTTGCCCTGCCTTCTTCCTCCACCCCCAAGCACCTACGGTAGAGTTCACTGCAGAGGGCAAGGAGTCCCCTCCCTCCCTCCCTCCCTCCCTTCCTTCCTCTCTTTCTCTCTCTATCAGCAAAAGCCTCTCTGAATCGCCACAACTAGAAGTGATCCATTTCTCTAGCCACTATAGTACGTAGACACTTGAAACGTGCTCATGCTCTTTTATTGAATAAATAGCCGTACACTTCTCTCACCTCTCTACGAGACCAAATGCAGAGGTAATGTGTGTTCTGCTGGAGCATAATCTTCAAGAGTGGCTCCTTTACAACAAAATTTTAAAGGTAAAATATTGATATGACAAAGGGATCACTCTGTGTCATTCTTGCATTCCCCACCACACGTCAACAATACCTTGGCCGTAATGGACCACTTCATGAAGTAGGTCATCACAGCTTTAGAGCAGATATGTTGAGAAATAGCATATGGAGGTGAGTGGCACAGTTTAATCCCTGCACCTGGGCCACTTTAAAATGAAGGAAAGAGGTGTTAAGAAAAAAATATCCAAAACTTAGAAATAAGGCAAAGGAAAAAGAGCATGTTCTTTCAATGTTAAACATTTTAATAGGGGTGCCTGGGTCAGTCGTTAAGCATCTGCCTTTGGCTCAGGTCAGATCTCGGGGTCCTGGGATCGAGCCCCGCATCGGGCTCCCTGCTCCAAGAGGGGAAGCCTGCTTCTCCCTCTCCCACTCCCCCTGCTTGTGTTCCCTCTCTCACTGTGTCTCTCTGTCAAATAAATAAATAAAATCTTAAAAACAAAAACAAAAAAAAACATTTTAACAAAGCCACGCAAGGGTGATTTAAGTATCTAATCCTTGACTCACCGTCTAGCACTGATTTTAAAAACCCCGATTTTGTGAAGTCACGTCTTAACTTACAGATTTTTTTCCTCTGAGACAGATGTAAACAGTTTCTGTCTAGTGGAAGAATTATCCCAAACTTACGGTTTTATTGCCTTGTAGGATATTAACCAGTTTTATATCTAACCTAACAATCTTATTCTAATATTCTTTTTTTCTAATGTCTTTAAATACCCATTTACTTAAATGGTTTTTGAATCATCTTTTGCATTTTACTATTTCCTTTACTAATGATTGAACAAATCTCTGACACAAGCCCATTCTATGTGTGAGAGACATGGTTTTACATTTTTGAAAATTATACTTTGCCCAAGCAAACTACAGAGATGGAAGACTCATTTTCTGATAAGAGAACTTGATCTGGTTTGGGGGAATACAGCTTGGACTCCCATTGTTTCCTATCCAAATCACAGGGCTCCATGTTGAAGCAATATGCAGCCCCACCTGCTGAAGATGGCCAAGAAGTCCCACCAACCTAGAGGAATTCGATCTAAGTCAGTAGTGCATCTAGGAGGAGAGCAAAGTTACCAACCAGTGGAATTAATGGTACTCTATACTCTTCAGAGTAGAGTACAGGGGAGAGGGACAAACCTAAGGGGGAAAGGAAGCAGAAAAAAATGAAGAAGAACGAGAAAGAAGACCAAGTAGGGAAACGAAAAAGTTTCCAGGGCCAACAAGGGCCTAGGGATGGTGCAAATGACTGGATTTCAAGCTCCTTGGAGAGAATTTTGAAAAACCCTGGACATGGACATAATAAGACTCAATAAGAGTAAATCTCCTGTTTGCTTAGGTGAGCCAAGAAAAGTAAGGAGAGGCATGAAAGAAGGGGATTTCAAATATGACAGCTCAAGACCCACAGACAGTTAAAGACCAGAAATTTATTAGTTGAACACAAATTCAAATGTTTTGTTAATCCAGATATAATTTTATCCACAGGATGTACACTAAGTGTTGATCTTTTTGAGCACTCGTTCCCCTCCCCCCAGCAACTCAAAATAGTTCCAAATACTTAGGGAAAAATTATGTTACCAAAACAAAGCAAAACCCAAATCAGAGTGAATCGTACCAGCCATTTAGTCACTAAACCGATGCTAGACAAGGACAGGTGATGAACATCTGGGTTTGCTTCCTGCAGGAAGGAGGGAAGAAAGCAGAAGGCATCAGAAGGTGAGGCAGGCAGCGCACTTGCGTCTCCAGAGCACATTCTCCGAAAGTGACTTACATTCACCAGTCCAGTTTTAATGTGCCAAAAATCACTGCTTTTCAGACTGTGATGAAAAATGTCGGACTCAGCAGTGTCAACCTCAGGAAAGAAAAGAGTCCAGGGGAGGAGCCTTCTTTATGAAGCTCACCCCCACATGTCTGCACCAGCCGTGCTCCCTCTGAGGACGGACCCTTAGTAAGTCTCTGCTTACTAGTAGGTAAAAAGGGAAAGAGTATATAAAAGAATGGATGCTCCAAAAGAAATGTTCAACTGGCTTTAAAAAAAAAAAAAAAGACTACCCCACCCACCAAAAAAATTGAACAGTACTTCAGAGGTGTTATTCAATGCACTTAAGTTAGTAAAAGGATAGAAATTAAACCTAGGCAGGACCTTTGTCTACAAAAGAATGCCCCCGGTATCATTGAATTCAATACTCAGATAATAAAATTTCCATTTGATAAACACTTTTCTATGTAAGAAGCAGTTCTAATTCTATTTGAGGAATATAATTGTTGATGAAATTCAGAGACCATTATCTCTTCTCCTTTATTTAAAGGATTCAGATTCCCCCATCTTAAAAAGCATCCAGTACAGTCTTTTATAATCCTAAAGATAATCCTCAGGATAATCCTCAAGGGGGCTGGGGGGCGGGTGGAAAGCAAGGCCTCAGAACAGGTAGAATTGCTTTTATTGTTCTTTGTTGCCATGATGGGAATTACGTGTTCAGCTCCAAATGCTGGATTCACTACAACAATGTTTTTCTCCCTCACTAGGAATAAGACAAACTACTAAATCATTATTTCCTTTCCAGCTAAGGGTCCTTGTTGTCCTGACCAACTAAATGAAGCGTGCAGTATCTCCTTGGAAAAAACGGGCAGCAGAAGTGTAAGTGTTTAATGCCCAGAGAAGCTGGGCTCTAAAATCTCACAGCTGATTGCATAGTCACTGTTTGCAATTCAGCACAATGTTAATAGGCTCCCCCTGGGAGTTAGCTGATGCTTTCTGAATAATTCACTTCTAAAATCACCTAAGAAGTGAAGCAATAATTATTTGCCAGCACGAATTATGCCGCTGGTAAAAGTCATGAATCCACATTGTTAAACCAATGTGGATTTACTCTAAGCAGGCATCACTCAGATTAATATCAGGGATAAAAGGGCAAGCTGCTGTCAAGGGCCAGATATCAACAGCTTCGGCCAGAATTAAAGACAAAAAGGGCCTGGCTGGCTCAGTCGGTGGAGCATGTGACTCTTGATCTCAGGGTCATGAGTTCAAACCTCACGTTGAGTGTAGAGATGAAAGAGAGAGAGAAAGAGAGAGAAAAAAGAAAGAAAAAAAAAAAAAAAAAAAAAGAGAAAGAAAGAAAGAAAGAGAGAGAGAGAGAGAGAGAAAGGAAGAAAAAAGACAACAGGTAAGTCATCTCTTCGGAGAGCCGCCTAGGTCAGCACCACTCATCCAAAGCGACCATTAGCATGAAAAAGAAGGGTTTTTGAAATCCTGCTAGTTTCTTGCCTCCTGGCTTTTGTTGTCTCACCTAAGTGAGACTGTTTGTTTCCTCTTACTGCGCTTGGACTCTCTCACCCAATGGTGTAAGATTTGCTTCTTTTTTTCTTCTCACCTAATACAGGAGAGGCTCTAAATTTCCCCTTCCTGCCCAAGAGGCACTGTCCACACCTCCCACCTCCTTTTTTGCAAAATGGCATTTGGCAAAAGGAAAACACATCAGGAGCTCTTTCTTAAATCTTTATGGCACTGAGTATTTAAATCTTTATTGCAAATCTCTAGATGACTGTTCTGTGCCCAAACAGCAAAGAGATGGGCTTCAGGGTTTCCCGTGAAATTTGCTATTTACAGCTACATGGGCGGAGGCGGGGGAGAGGAGTTCTGTCTCCCAATGTCAGGAAACAGGGAGTATAATCTGTGCAAAACTTGCTGTTGGGAGGTGTCCCACTTTGAACTCAAGTGGAATTCAGACATCTCAAGGCTCTTCAGGTGAGCAACAAGGATGGGGCTTCAAGAATTTGCAAGAGGAGGAGCCCTCTGGAGAGAACATGCCCAGAGAAAAGAGAACAGACATCCCAGCTGTAGGAGGGAGGCAATTCTGGGTACTACACAGCGTCCTCAACCCAGTCTTGCCCATCGGATCAGGCACCCAAGACTCACATTCCACCTAGATGTGGGAATGGCTAGTGGAGAACACTGCTAAGTAAAAACTATTTGTTCACAGAAATCTGGTGAGACAGCAGAACTGGACTGGCCCTCTTTAAAAGGAGAGAAAATGTCCACACATCGTTGGCACATGTAGGGCTTCACTCTGTCAGAAGCGTCAAGTGTGAGGAATCTGTATTGCCCAGCAGGCATAGCCCGTGGAAGTGAGGGCAGGGTCCCACAGACAGGTTCCATCTAGAGAAGGAGCTTGACATGCTCAGTGGAAGTGAGAGGATAGAAGGAAAATGGCTGTTTCTGTAGGTTAACTGACCAACGTTGTTCGGAGAGACACCCTGGAGACCTTCATTTGAGAGGACCCCTTACAAAACACTGAGATCTTGTATTAGCAGGTGGGAGCAAGACCCAGTGAAACCAGGGGGACAGACGCTTCTTTTCCTAAGTGCGGTTTTACTTCGCAGGGAATATCCAAGCGAACAGACTCTTAAGTGTTTTTCTTTCGAGGGACAGATGGAGATCCATGTTGCTCAGGCCTAGCTCCTGACGTGCTTTGGCACCGGGAGTAAAAAACTGAAATGTGCTGCTTGCTTTCGGGGTGCTGCTGACCCGCTGAAGATGTCACCGAGAACGTTGCCAGGACGACTACTAATTTTAGCACTCCACGGAAGAAATTAAACTAGTTATTAGTTACAGAGTATTGTTGAAAAATTGTTTTAACATTTAATTTCTGTAGCTCTTTATATGTTTATTCTTTTGAGAGACTTGGTTCATCTTTGCTGTTCAGCGAGAGCATCTTCTAAGAGCTTGTATCTCTATCAATTCTCCATGTTTGTCTTCTATTGTATTTTGTGTATTTTATATTGAAATAATTGGTTTATATTCCTGTCCCTCTTGGTGAAGCTATAGGCTCTTCATGGAACTTACAGGGACAGGGATTGTATCAGACATTTGAATTATTTTTTTCTTTTTTTTTTTAAGATTTTATTTATTTATTGGCCAGAGAGAGAGAGAGAGAGAGAGAGGGAGAGTACAAGCAGGGGGAGTGGCAGGCAGAGGGAGAAGCAGGCTCCCTGCTGAGCAAGGAGCCGGATGCGGGACTCGATCCCAGGACCCTGAGATCATGACCTGAGCCGAAGGCAGACACTTAACCATCTGAGCCACCCAGGTGCCCAGACATTTGAATTATTTGAATTGAACTCTTTATAGCCTTCATCATTGTCAGAGTAAGCTCTGCCCCCCAAAAAACTCAGATCAAAATTTTCTGTGAATGTCCAACATCATGGCTAAAACTGGTAGTTATCACCAAACACTATTTCCCTCTTCTTCGAGAGTAAAAAAAGCTTAGGTAGGCATAAAACAATCCAGTAAATACATTTCCCAGACTCTCTTGTAGCTAGATGCGGTCTTGTGATAAAGTTTTGGCCATTGTGTTGTGAGCAAAGTGTGGAATGTCCCTCCCGGTTTGTGCCAGGAAAGAGAAGGAGAATACCTTCCTTCCTCCACATCCTGCATCTTACTGTTTGGACGAGGGATGTAGTGACGAACCACCTCCACCCTTAAAGACAAAGGCCCTCCTCTACACATGGTAGAAAAATAGCTAGAAGAATTCTGGGACCTGACAACACAGTTATCATAACAGCCCTGGACTGCTCACCCCTAAACTCTGTATTATGTGAGGGAAAAATAAACTCTACCTCATTCAGATCACTGAATAACCACTTCAGTGTGTGGTATACATTAATATATTTATCCATGGAACCGGCCAGGGTTCTTTTCTTATTTGTCATACCTTACAAATGCTCTTGGTACAAAATAAGAAATTTAATATCTAAACAATTATATGGGGGCGCCTGAGTGGCACAGTTGGTTGAGCGTCCGACTCTTTGTTTCGGCTCAGGCTGAGATCTTGGGCTCGCAAACTCAGGGTTGTGAGATCAAGCCCTGTGTAGGGCTCCACACTCAGCAGAGTCTGCTTGAGATTCTTTCTCCCGTTCCCTCTGTTCCCCCTACTTGTGCTCTCTCTCTCAAATAAATAAAATCTTTTAAAAAAATAACCATATTAAGGTAGTAGCTGGTATGTGAAATTGTCAGGATCTATTTTTTAAGCTATCAAATTTCTAAAATTTAAATCTTTTAATTGTGAAGTGAGAGTAAAACCTCCCCTTTTAGCATTCATTTCCACGGCCTGTTTGTCTACCACATAAATATCCATTGGTCCAACTCCAAAAGGGTGGAAGTCAAATGTTCTAGTTTCTATCCTTCCCTTGCCCTCAGGTCATTCAAGTATGGCTGCCTTCCTACTCTCAGCATGCTTACTCTGAAACTCACAGATCACACGCTGAACTCTGACCAACTGTAATGAGAAACAAACTTTAGTTTTTGCCACAGTCACCTCTTTCACTCTTTCTCATTATTTTATGCTCCCCCCTCACTCCTTAATCCTCTATCACACACACTTCAATTATTTCCCATCACCCACCGCCACCATTGCCTTGTTCCAGAAAAAACTTGCTCACAACATCCCTAAGAGACGTTTGTATCCCCAACCAATCCTGAGAGCCCTGTTTACCCAAGATACTTTCCATGTACTGAGTGGCTCCACTTGTAGGTCCTCTACAGCCTGGCCACGGTGCCAGCTATACAGGCTGGGGCAGAGTGGTTGGTCCCTGAAGGACCAGAAGGATCCAATCCTGAGATAATAAACATTCGTGAAACTGAGGGACATGTTTGATAGAAAATCCTTTAGAGAGAGCAGGAAGTGAAAGGCCTAGGGCATTTGAGGTAACATCATAAAAAGGCAACAGAGCTGAAAAATGAAAAAAAAAAGAATGAAAACAATTCAAATTGAAGTCGGAATTAGGGTTCACATGTTTTAGACCATTCCAAGTTGCTTGCTGGAATGTGATCAAATCTATATCCTGCTAGTTTTGGATTTGAACCTGAGGTAGAGGGAACTTATTCAGTCATGGTATACTCCTGTCATCAGCCTGGGCAAAGGCTCACTCTTATTTGGTTTTGTTTGATTTTCCTCTTTAATCCTTGATTAAAGGATGTTGGCAGAAGACATGAGACTCCCAGGTCAGGGACAAAGGACAGTTATTATTCACAGCAATAGCAACTGCCAGAGTATTGTCAGGGTTTTTTTGTACCGGTTTCCCAAAGACCAATTCCCGTAGGGTAACACGAAGAGGGTCAGGTAATACCTGCACACATGGGGATGCATTACAGGAGAGGAACCATGAGCTTAGGGAACACAAATCTTTTAAAATGGATAATAAGCCTTCCTGATCTTTGCCATATAGGGAGACATTATTTTTATTATAATGGACAGTAAACAAACCTACCCTTTGTTATCTATCTTCCAAAACTGTTCACAATAAGAACATCCTTGAAAAGATAGTCCAGAACAAAGGTAGTCTGCTCACAAGATATGCAAAATTCAAGAGACCCTTGGAGATTGTCTCCCAAACCTCCTTCTATGCCATTTTCTCTTTCTTTCTTAAACACCCCCTTTATGAAGCTTATAATATCAGATAACTCTTTCTTGTTGCAATCATTTACAAACCTCATGTTACTCCCTCTCATTTTCTGGAGATTTCTGAAGAAATCAGTGTATTGATGATCCTTTACTACAATAGCTTTTTGGTTCCACAACTTCTCCTTCAATGATCTTAACCTCTATTTTCTGATTATTTTTGAAGTTGAAATGAATATCGCTTCATATGTTATTATTAGTGTCTCCCCTTTTTTAAAAAAAAAAGATTTTACATATTTACTTGTCAGAGAGAGAGAGAGCACAAGCAGGGGGAGTGGCAGGCAGAGGGAGAAGCAGGCTCCCCACTGAGCAAGGAGCACAATGCGGGACTCAGTCCCAGGACCCTGAGATCATGACCTGAGCCGAAAGCAGATGCTTAACCAACTGAGCCACCTAGGCATTCTGGGTTTACCATTTTCTTGTAATTAACAAGATGTCTTGTTTACTGTATTTATCCCTTATTGACTTTAGTTATTTCAAATATCCTTTTCCAATCTGTGATCTGTATATGAACTTTCCCTATTATATCTTTCAATGAAGCAAAGTCTTCAATTTTACTGTCTTTTCTATCCATTTCTTTTTTATCTTAGAGTTTGTGGTTGGTTTAAGAAGTTTAAGACGTTCTCCCACACCCCAAAGCCAGAAAAATAATCTTTTTTCTCTTACCATTAACTTTTCAGATTTACACTGTCCATTTAGGACTTAATCCA